TTTTTTTTTTTTTAACTTATTTTTTTAAGGAGCTCAGAAGACTTACAGAAGAGGAGTGTAGCAAGAGGCGTCTCATTGCTGGGATAGACACCTGACACCCAAAACGAAGAAAGGAAAAGTTTATTTGGTTCGAAGTTAGTGGAGTCCATTTTTACCTGGTTCCAAGGCAGAGTAGCACATGGGAGTACTGAGAAGCTGTTCTTGGCAGTGGCAAAGAACAGAAGGGAAAGAAGCAGAAGCCCAGGCAGCTAGTTAGCCTCTCTCACCTCCTCACATTGTACTGCAGCGTATCTGCCCCAGGGTACTCATACACATAATCCCAGCTTGGGATCATGAATCAATCACAATCCAGAAGCCTCCACGTGAGTGCACGAGGCTGTGGGAGGACAAACCATAACACCTTGATTTTTGTTTGTTTTATTTTATTTTTGGTTGAAATTGTTTCTTAAGTCAGTTTTATTTACTGTTTCTGTTGCAGAGGACTGAACCCTGGACTTGCAGCTTGCTAGGCAGGCATTCTACCACTGAGCTCAATTCCCATTGGCTCACAGTTTGTAACAGTTTCAGTCCATAGTGGGCTGGTTCCAAGGCAGGCATGTGGCATAGGAAAAGTACTTTCAGGCCATACCCTCAGTGACCAACTCCACCAGGCTCCGCCTCCCAACAATATATTTAGCTATAAACTCATTAGAAGACTAATTCAGTGATGTATATACCACACCCCTATCCTTCAGTCACCTTCCAAAAACCCTACCTCTGAGCCCATGAACTTTAGGGGGACATCTAGATAAAAACCATAACATGAACAAGTATTTTGGGAAACTACCAGTTAAGGGAACATCTAGATAAAAATATAAACATCTTTGGAGAAACTGTATTAAAGGAAGGACAAATACGGAGTGATAGATGTGGGGTACAGGGAACATTTTTTTGAAAGATAAACTATAATGAAGAATAGGATAAAATGAATGAGAGCCTGTATGACGCATGGGAAGAGCAATCAGACTGATTATCAGTGGAGGGAGAGAGAATACTGAGAATACTTGGCTCATTGGATGCCTTTGCTGTTGATATAGGTGACTTTTACAACAGATGTAGAGAGGAGCACTGTAGATGACTTCCAGACAACACTAGGGGCATAGAGACAGGAACACGTGAAAAGTAGCTGTGAAGGACAGCTTGCGAAGTTAGCTGAGGATGGGAGTTTATAAGATTATGACACAAAAGGAGGATCAGGACAGAGTAGAAAGCTGTGAAGAATTTGACATATATTTTAGGTCATGAGGTACCTTATAGTATCTTTGAATATGAGGGTTAATAAGCCTGCCTGTGTTTTAGGAAGGTAAGCCTGACAGTTGTGTGGACAATGGGTAGGACAGGTGGAATGCAGCAAGGCTGTGCAGGCCTGAAATGCAGACTGAAAAATTTAGATTTGACCTGATATTAAGCCACTTATTCTTAAATAGAGAAAGGAATGAAAACAGTGGTATTTTGTCCTTTAAAATTAAACTGGAAGTGATTTACAAGATGGATTAAAGTAGTGGCAAATTGGAAACTGTTGATTTGCCTGGTTTTCCCCCTGGAATTTTCCTTGCTGGTTAGTGAGGAGATCTTGTTTCTTTTTACAAGAGAGGTTTAGCCCCCACATATGGAAAATCTGACCTAGTCTCTTCCTAGCGTTTTTCTTGAAAAGAGCTATTGCAGAGAAAGCACAGGTCAGGACCCACTGGTACTGCCTAGGTGGACACCAGGGGAACACCTGATCCTAACTTTCAAGTGTTTACTGAATACTTTCCATCTGATGATAACCCTGTCAAGCTCTGGAGAAACAAAACCAATCCCTGCCCAGTATAATTGGGGTGGTAAGCATACACAATCAAATAATGCCACATGTGAAAATGTTCATGTATGTAATATTGGGAGTTCGGGGCGGGAAATAACTTGTGAGAGAAACTCTGGAACTTCTTCTTGGGGAAGGTGATACTTGCTTCTCTAGCCCAGCAGGTGCACGGCTGGCTGAGCCCAGGGGAAGGGCAGCCTCAAAAAAAAAAAAAAAAAAAAGGTGTAATTTGAGACTGAGAAGCTCTTAGAGGGAAGGAGCCTTAAAAGGTTAAGACTGAATTTATCGGGGGCTGGTGAGATGGCTCAGTGGTCTAAAGCACCTATTTAAAAAAAAAAAACAAGCTTAGCTAAAGCACAGGGACCACGGTTCAATCCCCCAGCACCACATGCCACCCTGGTGGTGGGCTGAGCTGAGCTGGCCACACACACACACACACACACACACACGCATAAATAAAAAAATAAAAACAAATTTTAAAAAAGACTGAATTATCAAAGCCCTGCAGCCTTGCTGAGGATTTGAAGTCTATCCTGCAGGCTCTAGCATTGTTTTCCCATTGACTTTTTTTTTTCTTTTTTTAAGTTTTATTTTATTGAGAAACAAATATCAATGAGACAGTTTCAAAACTGATTAATAGGACAGTTTCAGTAATGAATACATTTGAGCCTTCTGTGCTTTACTTTCACACATCTGTTGGCCACCCTCTCTCAGCATCTTTCACACAGAATACTGCAGCATCTTCCAAATGGTCTCCCTGGACCTGCCCACCCTACTGTGTTGTGGGATTATATGGCTGAGTTGTGTCCCCAGCATTCACATGTTGGAAACCTGATCCGCACTATGGCAGTTGAGATTGGGACCTATTGGGAGGTGTATGATTGTGAATAGATTGGTGCTGTCATATGGGGGAGAGCGCCTATAGAATGAGGACTTCAGCTTCCACTTGCTCTGTCACCCTCTATCTGTCCTCATATAAGAACCTGAAATTTTCAACCTGGCCTGGATGAGTTCGTGTTCTCTAAAACTGAAGAATTAATTTTAGGAACAAGCAGAGGTTAAGGGTAAAACTTTATTGGAAAGGAAAGCTTCTGTCAGAGAGAGACAGAAGAGGGACCTGAGTGGGTTGCCCAGGAAGCTGTTTCTTCCAGGGACTTTTATAGTGTAAAACTATGTGGGGCTGAAGTAGAGACAAAGGGGTCTTGCTTAGGCGGGTGCAGGGTGGGACAAAACTATGGTCAACCAATGGGATTACAAGCACCATTGCTCAGGTAAAATTGATTAGGCCCAGGACCAAATGGGGCAGTGAGTCACATAAGGAGCGGGCATGAATGTAAATCAGGACCTTATCTGGTGGCCTTCAGTCTATGATTCTTCCCAACTAATGAGCAATCCTGGATGTCAACTTTAGGAAGGTCAACATTTGTTTGATCTTTAGGTCTGGCTCCCACCAGGAACATCTCACCCAGTAAGGTGTCTGGTCTTTGTCATCTCCTTTGAGGGCCTGACCTTGTCTAACTACCTACAATATTTCTATCTAACTCAGGCTGCCTGCAACACTTCCACCGTGAGTGACCAGCCACTCACTTCTGGGCTTCCTGGCCTCCAAAAGCAATGTGTCAATAAAACTGTTCATTACAGAATACCCAGTCTGTGGTATAGTATTCTAGCAGCATAAAAATAGACTGAGACAGTAACCTAAATTGGACAGCCCTCAACCTTGAGTGGCACTGCCCTGAGCCTTGTACATATGTCCTGGACTTCTTGTACTCCTCTTTCTTTAGGATGTGTACTGTAAACACCAAACTGATTTCTAAAATGGACATTTATGACAGTACTCTGGCCATAGCTTTTCATGGCCATCATAAAATGCCTGCAATAAAACTGTGGCAGAATTAAAGACTTCCTTGTCTCACATCCCAGAGGTCCATGTCCTCTGGCTCCACTGCCCTTGGGCCTGTGGCAAGGCAGAGCACCCTGGCTAGGAACAGCTATGGAACAAAGCAGTCTACCTTGTTGACAGCTGCAAGCAGGGAGAGTGAGGAAGAGGCTGGGTCCATTTCAAAATCATGCAGCCAAGCCCCGGGCTCCCAAGACTGCAGGCCCAGACACTCTCCATGAAGAGAGAAGCACACTGACCCCAGTCAGCATCAGAACTGAAATCCTGGGTCGTTGGTGCTGGCTTTTACCAAGTCGTGGAGGTATTATAATGCAGCAGTAGACAACCAAATTGTAGTATATGAAAGTGTCTTAGTTACTCTTCTGTCACTGGGACAAACACCAGATACTCAAAATGAAGGAAGGAAAGCTTTATTTAGCCCAATTACTGGAGATTTCAGTCCATATTCAGTTAGCTCCAAGGCAGACTATTTTGAGAGTACTGTCTTCTCCAAACATCTCCTCTTGCCCAAAGAGGACCAGCTTCACACCTCAGAGAGACCATTGGCTGGGGGAAGCACTTGTGGCCAGTTTCAATGATAAGTACCTCTGTGGCCAACCCCTTGGGCCACTCAATGCCCCTCCAGCTGCCTCTGCCCCATAAGTTCCAGGAGGCTTTGGAAGGACAGCTAGACACAAATCATAACAGAGTTTTATAAATCTTCACATTGCTAGATCTATCTTGAAGAATTAATCAGAGACCCCTTTCTAGCCAGAGCCCAGGCCCAGCATGTGTGGGACCTTCCACCTGCTCGCCGCTTTCCACATCCCTTTCCAGCCAGAGCGCAGGCCTGATGTGTGTGGGACCATCCAGACTCTCACCTGAACTCCTCCATCAGACAGTCCCATGTGGAACCCTGCAGCAGAATTCCTTATAGAGAGGCTAGAGGCCAGACACACCCAGCTGATTCAGGAGCTGAACATCTTGCCAAAGGGGCACAGTGGGATTACTTTCATGGGCAGCAGCAGGGAGGAGGTGAGCAGAGCAGCCAGACCCAAGCCAGGCACAGCTGGACTAGTTCAAATGTGGTAGATATGGACCTGGTAAGCTGAGACAGTTTGCTAGACCCAAATCTATCAGAGTATCCTCTCTCTCTGTAGATTGAGGGGACAACAGGTAACTGGATGAGGCAGTCTGCCTGAAAGACCCCATGTTCATCAAGGGGAAGTGATCAAACAGAATGTAGGGGAACTAATTTAAACACAAATGTCCAATTTAATATCTACTTAACTACACAGAAATAATATTTGCTCTCATGGTCTAAAATACAAAGCTGATAGTGCAGGCCCAGGGAGTGAG